GACTCAGCATCCAGTTGGGGCAATATCTCATCAAAATAGAACCCAGTATTTTGTACTCTTACGTTGAAGATCAAATGCTAGAGCGGGCCTTGGGAGGCGCTAGTAAAAAGGTGGAAGTGGGCAAAGAACGAAAAACCTCAAATGGTAAATTACTGTTATTTTCCAGTTCTTATGGTTCTAATGATGCACTAAATATATAAGGACAGAGTAAAATTTAAAATTTGGGCAACTAACACAATTCCACATTGTAATAAAGTAGTAGCAACAGTAATTCAAACCTAATTACAAAAGACAAAGTAGGGCATAAAAATATGCAAGAATATGCACCAAATTTTGTTGCTTTTTATAGCTTTGTACGTCTGCAGAAGAAGAAATGTAAGACTTGCTTGTCAACAAAGACAACTTTGCATATTTGTGAGATGAGATCAAGGAAAGAGAGGTGCTAGACAAGTTCGTTGATAAAGCTATTAATTTGGCTGACCATACAGCCTCCACAATATGGGATAACAAACCATGAAGGTCACGCAGGGGCACAATATCTACAACGGGCAGTAGAGAACAGCATTCCCTCATTCTCCCCACTGTACACGCGCCTCAAATGTATGACACTTTGGTGTCTGTGGAATCTGACAGTCAGTGATACAAAGGCAGGTAGCAAGCCGTTTAATTGCCTACTACAACGACCAGACCAGACGATACACCCTGGTTTTCAAGTCTAACGATTAACAGTGGGTAAAGTGCCTCACCGAAGCACTCGTAGAGATCAAACAGCAGTCAGTTGACGCCATGTTTGAGTGATTGCGAAACAGTTAAAATTCGGAATCAAGATGTCAATCAGGATGTCAGTCCGAAGCTGTACCTCCGAATGGGTATGCACAACCTCCTGTTGAATGCACTTCAACAGATCGCACGGCCAAATTGCATCCCACTTTAGCAGCAGTGGTGTTGACGAGAAGTCTCTCCGTGACATCCAATGTGAAAAGACGTTTGCCGAAGCACTAATTCATGATGCCTCTAGATTTTACCATGACATTCGCAAAGTAATCACTGCTTAAACCGCATCC